AATATAGTAGTGGCTGTATTTCTAGACTTTAAACGTGCATTCGAAACCATTGATCGAGGTCTCCTTCTCTCGAAGTTACGAAGTATTGGAATTGGAGGAAATGTTTTGCAGTGGTTTTCATCTTACATAACAAAAAGAGGACAAAAAACAAAATATGGTGAGAGAGTATCTGGAAGAAAGGAAACTAAATATGGCGTACCTCAAGGCTCAGTATTGGGTCCTATATTATTTATTATTTTTATCAATGACATTCTCTGTTGTTTAACTGATTGCAAAATACATCTGTTTGCAGATGACACAATGCTTTATATGTTTGGTAAAAATGTTAATGATATTATAAGAAATATTAACGGGGAACTAAATAATTTATATGCATGGCTTTGTGACAATAATTTGAAAGTAAATATTGATAAATGTAAGTGGTTAGTATTAGGCAAAAAACATACATTGAATAAAATTTCGATAGAGGATTATATTAAATTAAATAACGAGAAACTAGAAAGAGTCCATCAGATAAAATATCTGGGTGTGATGTTGGATGAATGTATGTGTTTTAAACAACATACCGCATATATTGTTAAAAAAGTTGCCAAAAAAATTAATTTCTTAAGGCGTATATCTAAGGATTTATCATTTTTTGCCAGACTGACCATTTATAAAACGATAATTGCGCCACATTTTGAATATTGTTCAACAATTTTATTATTTTTAAATAACAATGAGATTCAGACTCTACAGAAAATGCAGAATAAAGCTATGAGGATTATTTTGCAGTGTAGTAGATATACTCCAATACAGGACATGTTAAATGCATTAAATTTTATAAACATAAAACAACGAATTTTGTTAAGAACGTAACAATTTATATATAAAATAAAAAATTTGCTCTTACCTAGTTATTTGCACAGTAGAATAACTTATGTAAGAGATGGACATTTAAATGTAATGAAATTGCCTACAAATTATATTCTAGAAGTTCTACTCGTAGGATCAATGGTTTCGAAGCAATTTCAGTCCAAAGGTCTAAAACTAAAATTTTCAATTTCTGGAAAAACTGGCCTATTTTCAAAGTGCCGTCATTCGGTAACCAATTGACCTACAGAGCTCCGGTTGGGCTTAGTTTGTCACAACTTTGATGCTCTTAAAAAACGTATAGAGTAGCTTTTGACGAAAAATGCATGGATTAGGAGATATAGAGCAGAATCTGAAACAAGTCCAAAAATGTCGAGGTTTTTGGTATGTAAAAATTTTCCCACAACTTTTTTGAGAGTTGCAAACTTATACATAGCCCTAATGGGTCCAAACAACATACTAAAAAATCAGAGATACATCATGTTTTGCGAATTTAGCGATTTTTTGTGTCGATTTTGACTAGCCTAATACACATGGTTTGAAGCTAGTCACTGTTTCTCTCCATTTTTTTGAAAAAAATTAAATATCTCGAAAACGGTTAATTTTAGGAATAGGGAAACTTCATAAAAGTCCACCTAAAATAACACGTAGAATCCAAAATTGGAATAATATATAGGGTTTTTCATTTAAAATAAACAAATTGATGGCGATTTTCGGTATAACCAGAAGTGGTACATGGATGCCATTATTTTAGATGAGAAGGGCATGCCCGAAAACCCGATATCCCAAACGGAAAAAAGTTTTATGCCTGTATAAATTTTTTTTCTTTGAAATATCGAGCTTTTTCCCAAGCGTGTCAGACTGCTTCGGAACAACTACCTGTGGCAAATAAATACCTGTTGGAAGGGTACATCCTGATTATACTTTTGATTTTTAACTTTTCTAATACTATTAACAGATGTCGTTAGAAGCAGTTCAAACCACCTGTAAAAGTAGGTAGGTATTAATAAATAAAATTCACATTTTTAGCAGTAAATAATGTTTTAATATACAGGTCTTAAAACGGAGATTGAGTAACAATAAAAATATACAAATAGTACTATAAAACACAACATGTATAATTCAGAGTCAAAGCAATAAAACTGATGATTTATAAAACACTTGTAAAAAAATATATAGGTAAAACAAAAATTAAAAACAGTTTAGTCTTAAACCGTAACCAAACAAGTTGAGAACAAACCTGCACCTAAATTAAAAAGTCACTTTAGAAAAAAGTAAATAAATACTTTTACATGTCATAAAATTGGATATTGTTAGTATGATTATTACACATAGTAACTAGGAGGCACTGTGAGATCACTTAAGAGTGATAATTCTTCTTCCGTAAATTTTAACTTATGTGTTTCCCAATTATCATGATGTGTCCTTTTAAAATCGCCTAAAGTTTTTCGAATGGTCGCCTGAAAATAAATAAGTAAAAATAAAAATTAAATTATAATTGTAAATACTAATACATTGAATCCAAAATAACAATCTCTATCATTCACAAGTAATTCAAATAAGTTCAAGTAAGTTTCATGTTTGAAGTTTTTTTTCTTTTGTTTAGTTCTTACAATATTTATTGAGCCACGTGTACCTTTAACTGTTTTCAGTATCCCCAAAAAAGATATTGTTATTTTGGTAAATTGTTGGCGAGTAAAATATACTAACTGGAATTGGTTGAGGATCACTTAAATGAGGTCTTAGCTGTTCAAATACGTCTGGCAAAAAATCGGGTACATCGTACGGATGAGAGTTTATAAAAGCACACAGTCCAAGAACACCTGCATGCCTAGTCCTCATATTATTGTTATTGTTTGTAACACCATCCTCTTTGTTTCTAACTTGATTTTTATGTTTTAATTTGGTAAGTGCTTTCTGCTTGAAAAGTTCCTTAAATAAATAAAAATAATAATTTTTATACGCTTGGTATAATAATGTAATTTACCAGTAAGTTAGTAGGTTCTGGAATAAACTGACAGTGAAGTAGACCATTTAATACTTTGGCAGCTCCCATTCTTACTTCAGGTTGAACATCTTCCAACAGTTCCAAGACTATAGCTTGTATCTGAAAAATTTTGCTTACCATTAGAGGAAAAAATACTATTGCTGTTTAAGGTTTTTCTGATTTGGGATTGACGAACAAATATTCATAAAAAAATCAATATAAGCTTATTAATATGAAGAAAATCCTCAAAAAAAAATTGTGACTAGTTTGCATACCTAGAGACGAGATATTAATAAAATAATTTTTCATGATTTAGTACAGTCTTATGAGAATGCAGATTTTTTTGTTCTTTCCACTTAAAATGCGCAACAATTGACGAGCACTTCCCACAGCAACTTGTATAATTAGGAAACTGATATCTAAGGAACCCTATGACAGTTCGTAGAAATCGATTAGGTACTTGTAAGATACATAATTTATAATAATTCTCCTTCCAACTACTTTCATTGACTAACTTGACCTAATAGGGGAGAGGAGCATTAGGCTTTCCAGGGAAGTAAAATATCTAGGAGTGATACTGGATAATAAGCTTACCTGGAATGCGCACTTGGAAAAAGTGGTGAGTAAGGCGAAGCAGACATTGTGTGTATGTCGTCGCTTTATTGGGAGCTCCTGGGGACTGAAACCAAAGATGTCATACTGGTTGTATAAGTCGATAGTAAGACCTAGGATTTTCTACGGCGCTGTGGTATGGTGGAAAAAAATACAACAGACCACAGCGAGGGAAAAACTGAATAGAATTCAGAGATTGGCCTGTTTAGGTATAACGGGGCGATGGCATTGACCCCGACAGCTGCACTAGAAGTCATGCTAAATCTACCACCGCTGCATATAGTGGTGGAAAGAGAAGCGCGGCTAGCAGCATATCGACTCAGGAATAACAANCATGCCGGATCTATTCCCAAATTTTTTTGGATAAGTTGTGAATCACCCTGTATTTCTTGAACAGGTAAAAAAATTAAATATAGGGTGTTACCTTTTTGAGGTCTCCATCCTCTTAGATATCTCTTACACTTTTTTAATTCACAATTATTTTCTATACAAAATGATTGTTTTCTGTTACGAAATTTTATTATCTGCTACAAGAGAATACATCTTCGGTTTTAAATGTAGTGAAATATAGGGCATTTAGGAATTCTGTTTTTTATGTGGAGGGGCAATTATACCTATAAAAACAGAAAAAAGGGTGTTCTTAAAATGTGTAGGTATTAAGATTGTTGGCCATTTCATGGATATAAAAAAAGCTTTATTGGTACCTATACTTACATAGTCATAGAATTCATTGGAAACATTTTAGAAGATAAAAATGGGAACCAAATAAGAGGTCTCAAGCAAGAACAGTATTAGAACTGATGATACTATAATTTTTTCTAAAGACTCTTATTTTGATCACCAGTACTTAGGCCTTTCTAGAATATCCTTTATACTTTTTTTTTTTAGTTTCATGTTCCATAAATAATTATAATTTGTGTTATATTTTAAGACATAAAATAAATGTTTATTTTGTAGCAACAGCATTCTATAGATTACTTCCAGATATTAAAATCATAAAAGAGGTGGAAGGTGAAGCTGCTTATAGACTCCAAAAATGTTTTTCGCCTGGTGTCATAGGGGTGAGACAAGAGAAAAATGGTAAAAAAATTGCAGTTGTCAGTAATTCACGATATGATACAAGTAGTAGGAATGTTTTTCGTTATGATGACCTTAAGGATACTGTTGTCATGTCTAAAATGCAGGACCATTTTATTTGTATGTAAACTTTAATTCTGATTTGTTTAAATTACTAATTTTTATGTTTTTAGTTACAATAGAGTCAGTGGGGGCAATGCAGCCTGAGATTATTTTTAAGGAAGCTATAAAAATTCTTCGAAACAAATGTGTGTCACTGTTGGATGAATTAAAATCTGCTTAACATAATAAGTAGTAATCTCTGTTTGTAACTTGTTCCAATTAAATATTGTTTTTTAACTGAGCATGTTTTTTTTGCCATTACACACTAATCACTACTATTGGTAAGGTTGTAGTCCCGGCAAGTAAGTTATACATTTGTGGCATATATTTACATTTTTATTTATTTATTGAAGTATTTTGCTACCCTTGAAAAAAATTTAAAAATCGTTGAAATAAACGTGTGAGTCGAAAGTGATATCAGTCAGGGCTTTTTTTATTAAATGGTTTTTAAAATAAACGGNGAGCCTAGTATGGTTTACAGATGGCTCCAAAATGACCAGAGGGATGGGTGCAGGAATATATGTACTCAGACCCAGATGGAGTGCAAGCTACAGTCTGGGGGAGTTCCCTACCGTATTCCAAGCAGAAAATGAGAAAGCAGATGAACTTGCTAGGAAGGGATCCGAGACAGAGTTCATTGACCCGGAGCCCTTCTGTGGCACATCTCCCAGTGTGGTCAGGCGGGCTCTGGGCAAATGGACTGAGACAGAACACAGGAAATACTGGACTTCAAGGCCAGGACATAGCCTTTCTAAGGAGCTCATGGAGTATCCTTCGAAGGAAAGAGTGATTGATCTACTGAGCTTGAACAGAATCCGACTCAGGAGAGTGACAGGACTCATAACGGGGCACTGTCACTTTAGGAAACATCTACATAAGCTAAAGCTTGTAGACAGTCCGGTCTGTCGAGGATGTGAATCGGCAGATGAAACTTCTCTGCATATCCTGGGCGAGTGCCCGGAATTTGCACGTAGCAGAATGGCGCTCCTTGGGAGACCCTATTTGGAATGCAAGGAACTGAGAGAAGTGTCAGCAAGGAAGCTTTTGGACTTTATAAAAAGGACAAATCTACTTGCTGAATAGGACTAGTAGTGGGACGCATAATAGGCCTAATTAGGCCGCAGTGCTATGGGACTTATTAGGACCAACCACTAGAAGAAGAAGAAGAAGCACTTGACCTCCATATGCGTGATAGCGGCAAAGCTGCGGTTCTTGAAGTAACGTATTATTTGAAATTCGCAAGTGTGACATATGATGTATATTTCAAGCTCAGGCATCCAAACAAAGCCAGCCTAGTGCAACGCTGCCAAATCTAAAGGCTTATTACTTTAGTCACTGGTAAATCTACAGAAACTCTCGTTAGACTTTAGACGTACCTCTGTACCCGATAAACCTTAATCAAGAACAGACATTGTTGTCGTTCATAAGGTGTTTTTTTTGTGGGTATGGTGGGGCCTCCTTCTATCCAGAAAGGTTGAGAGGTAACCACGGGAAAATCAAAATGTGGAAAAGGAAAAATGTATTGCTTATTTTAATTTTTCATTTTTTGATTTGTTTCTCAGGGCTTGGATTTCTTTATTTTAGCATATGAAATTTTGATTAGAAAATTTGATTTGATTACACGATGAGGTTAGTAATAATATTTTAATATCAGTGGGTAAATAGGAATTGATACAGATAATGAATAATATGAATATAAATAATGATAATAGATTATATATTTACAACAACGCTAAAAATGAACAATTTTCAAAAAAAAATCCGTGTAAAATGTATCGAAGTTTGTTAGAAAGGTTGGTGAAAAAATAAAATAGTGTCGAAAATTTTGAAAATTGATAGTATGATAAACCATATCTACAGCCTGTGAAAAAACTTACTGTGAGTGATTGGGACTCTTCGAAAGACTTGAAATTGAGCACTAAACTCAAAATTAAACTGGATTCAAAAACAACTGAACTGCAACACTGCTAGAGAATATATGGAACTGACTGAATTCAGGAATTGAATTGAACTGGCAAAATCAGAAACTGAATTCCTCAAATTCAGAAACTGAACTGACCAAAATTTCATTTGCTTGTATTTATACTATGTATTTTGTGCCATAAGGGACTATGTAAAAAAAGACTTGTGTCACAAATAAACAATTTTCTAGGGTCAGCGATTGCAACCAATGAGGGTGAACATCGGTCACTGTCCTAGCCAATGAGTTCTCAGAATGTGGTACATATTTTTTGTGATGTTAGATATAATTAAAAATGTGTGGCAACTGCCATTTGGAAAAGAGAGTCTGATCAATTCTTGAAACCCCCGGACCCGACAATATACATAACACGACACTCAAACGACTACCGCACAAGGGCCTCATGGCCCTACTAAACATAACAAACGTGACACTCAGACTAAGACACTTCCCTACCCGCTGGAAAACAGCAAACATAATCCTTATCCCAAAACCCAACAAAGATCACACCATCCCATCCAACTACCGGCCCATTAGCCTGCTCCCGGCTATGAGCAAAGTGGTAGAAAAAATTATCCTAACCCGTCTAAGAACCCACTCCCAAGAACTGCAAGTCATTCCAGACGAGCAGTTCGCCTTCCGACCCAATCACTCCACTGAACTCCAAATCCTTCGCCTTACCGAGCACATCACGGCGGCCTTCAACAGGGGACAGTACACTGGTGCTGTCTTCCTGGACGTCGCAAAGGCCTTCGATACGGTTTGGCATGAAGGCCTACTGATGAAAATGCTCACCAACCAATATCCCATATCCTTTACCAAACTCATAAAATCCTACCTACACCACCGAAAATTCCGCATCCAAATCCAAGATTCCCTTTCCACCACCCGTCCCATGGAGGCCGGTGTCCCCCAGGGCACCGTCCTGTCCCCACAC